CCCAGGGTTGTTTTTATAGTGAGAAAAAGAAGGAAGAAGTTAAAGTTGAGGTAATGATCAGGTGAAGGCACAAGGTAAAATTTTCAGGTGGATGGGTGACAGGGCAGAAATTCTCATTATATCAATCCTCTCCAACTTCTATTTCTGACAAAAATTTCCTAGAATGATAGTTAAGCTTATGAGAGTGAATGAAATTAACTGTTAGAGATGGTTCAATAAACAGGTATAGGTTGGTAAGATATTTTAATCTATGTTACCAGAGTATACCTGCCGACTGATACTGTAACAAATAATGAATAGTTTAAAACATTTTCACAGGGTTTGTAAATTTGTCCAGTGTAGCTGTTTGTCCAGATCATACTCTTCCCCTCCACCCCCACCAACCACCATCATTTATACATCTAGCAGATTCTACTTCAGCTTATACTGAATCAGTATTTTTTTGACTTTTTGGGAAAAATCTTTATGGTTGTAATTATACCGTACAGACTGTTCTTTGAGCAACTATTTTCATTGAAAGAAAATTCTTGAAGATATTTTCTCTGGATACCTTTCTTTGGCTGCTATAGTCAGTTTCATTTAACTAGGGACTTTCTTTGCTTAGTTAACAAATAAGCCATTCAGAAACTTACTTTGGTTGCAGCCTTATTTTTATTTTTTGGCATATCATTCTGCTGTCATGTTGTAAATTTTCTAATGTTCCTAATCGTTGCGCCCTTGAGTTGGGAGTAAGTGCTGCGTGGAAGGGCCTGCCAGGGTACTGTGATGAGTGCTTAGTTGTAATGGTTTCCTATATTTGTTCTTTGGCATGGCTATGATGCTACTATATAATAAGCATAATGCTTTGACATCTAGGTAATGAAATCTATACTCCATTCTGACTTAAAAATGTGACATCAGATCTTTTTTCTTTTATTGTTTTGACATGATAGATATTCACTGGTGGTAAAAATAAATATTGTAATGTTGCAATGAGCACGATGCTTGACATGGTGTCATTGTCCCATGTGCTAGTGAGATTTGCAGTGTGCTGAGTAGCGGCATGAAGGGAGAGCACCACATACATGGTGCCTGTTGCAATACTCAACTCTGCCCTTATATCACAAATGTAGCTATGCACAAGTGTGAACAAATAAGGGTATTTGTGTTCTGATGCAGGTTTATGGACGATGAAATTTTAATTTCTTATGATTTTCACATGCCACCAAATATCTGTATGCTTTGTTCGGCCATTTTAAAATGCAAATAATCATTCTTCAGTGAATAGACTGGATATTTGGCCCTTAGATCAAAATTTGCTAACTTGTGATCTAGGCAATGATAATAGTAAATGCACTACTCATAGGATGGCGTGCGGGTGAGTGAGTTGAGATGTATACTTAGTGTCTCAGGACATAGCAGGTTCTACATGTGTGTTTGTACTTACTGTTTTTATTGTTCTTCTGAGGATATTAATTTTAGTTTGAAGTTTTTCTTTTCTCAGAATCATCTGTTTTCAGATTCCTTTCTTTGGTTTGTTTTGGTTTCTTTACTTCACCTTGGGGGATTTTCTGGTTTTCCATTCTTAAGATTGAGATCCCTCAAAAGTGATGGGAAGCTCTGTGTGTGAGTAGATTTTTGTGAGTGATGGGCATTGCTGTAGGTGGCAAGTCAGCTTTTTAGATGGGGGGGAACCCCAAATGTTTGTATATTTTCCCTGGGTCCCCTTTCATTTTCTCTTGAGAAGAATCTTCTTGTCTCCTACCTTAGAGGCTGGGAAACCCACTGTGCAACTTTGCAGCAAGCTGACTTTTACTTCATTCTTCTGTTTCCCTCCTCCATTCAAGGTTTACCCTCCCCAACCTTGATTTTGGGGTTCGGAGTCTTTCCGTTAAGAATTTCATAGAGAGCACACATGGAATCTCCTGCTAGGGGTGGTGCGAGCCGCAGGCTTGGGCCCTGCTCCTTGGCCCAGGGTGCTTTACTTCAGCCTTGCGCCTTTCCAGGGCTTGTTTGTTAGTGTCCCCTCTGGCAGACACTTGGAGTTGGGGCTGTCTCTTCTCTGCGGGCTCAGTCCCCTTTTGTTCTTCCACGCCTTCTCTGATTTGATCTTTGTGGGTTTTTTCCTGTTAATCACTCATTTCACTGGAGTGGAATACCCAGTTGTGCACCTGGAACATAGTTAACATAGTGAATGTTCATTGGTTTGTGGACTAGTGAGACCTGTGGCATTTAGCATGTCCCTTGGCTGGTGATCATTGCCTGCTGTTTCTCTGTCTCCTGTTTCAATCATGAGGTTCGTCTTAAAGTTTGGAGTATACATGGGAGATCTGTCCTGTCCGTCCATCTATCTCTGATCTACCTAAAACATATGAAAGTTCTATATGTAAACTGTACATGTATATATATTTTTCTTTTTAAGGAAGTAGGTGATCAGGAATATAGTTTATGGTTTGTGGATTCTCAGCCTAAGTTGGGACAGTATGCTCTAGGGTGTTATTTGCATTTTTTTGACCTCAGGAGAGAATTTGGTTTCATGGGTTTTACTAACTTTTACTTTCCAGGTGAGGCATACTAAATCAGGAGATAGTGAATCAGTGCACATACAACAGGAGATTTAATTTTATCTATAAAATATTTCACAAATTAAATGCAAAATACTGAGCATATGCTTTCTTATATTGTTTTTGTAGGTTCTTCCCTAATATTCTGAATTTTTGGAGCCTAGGAATTTGCATTTTTTTTTTTTTAAGATTTATTTGTTTGTGCATACAGAACTGGGGAACAGGCCAGAGGCTCAGGGGCGGCGAGAGGCTTCAACCAGAGACAGAGTGGGGAGCAGAACAGGCAGATCAACGAAGTACACTGCTGAGGGGAGCAGTGGGTGGGTCAGAAGAGGTCTGCTGCACCTTGTGGATCCCCTCTGGGGCAGGCGGGGGTTCAAACTCATGCTGAAGTGGCTTTAGCTTCTTAGTGCTGTGCTTTAACTCACTGCACCACTAGGGAGGGCCCGGAATTTGCATTTTTAAAAAAGATTTATGCTTACAGAACTGGGATACAGGCCAGAGGTGTGGGGGGAGTGAGAGGATTCACCAGAGACAGAGTGGGGAGCAGAACAGTCAGATTGACTGAAATACACTGCTGAGGGGAATAGTGGGCAAGTCAGGAGAGGGCTGCTGTGCCATGTGGGTCACCTCCCTGGTGGGGGATAGAACTCGTGCTGCTGTGACTTCAGAGATCCTCATAATGCAGTACTTTAACCCGTTGAACCACCAAGAAGAGCACCGGAATTTGCATTTTTAAACTATATACCTCTCAGGTGTTTTTTCCATGCCTCTCTTTCCTGTCTCCCTGTTTCTCTCTCTCTCTCCCCTTTGTAAATAAATCCTTTTCTGTTGAACTCTGAGTCTGAGCCATGTCCTTAGTTGTAGTTGTAGGTGCATGGGTGAGAACCCTCTACCTGTGGTAATCTTCCTTACTACCTTTACACGGTTTCAATACCTGTTGTGTTGTATGTGGGATAGAAAGATGAATATGAATGTTTTTACTGTAAAAAAATAAACAGCAACAAAACTCAAGGTTTTGGAGTGACATGAAGAGGCAGTCAACAAATACTGCACGGACACTCCGACAAAATGAGAGAGATTTACAATGTGATTCCTTTGGAACTGGAAGCTCTTTGACTTTATGCAGGTAGCTCATTTCATTTATTTATTTATGCATATCAGAACTGGGATATAGGCCAGAGGTACAGGAGGTGAGAGCATTCACCAGAGACAGAGTGGGGAGCAGAACAGGGGCAGATGGACTGAAATACACTGCTGAGGGGAGCAGTGGGCAAGACAGGAGAGGTCTGCTCTGCTATGTGGATTAGCTTCCTGGCTGGGGGTTGACCGGTGCTGCAGTGGTTATGCATAGATTCATTGTGCTGTGCTTCAATCCCTTGCACCACCAGGGAGGCCCTAAGCAGCTAGGTCATTTTAGTCCTCAGTTTCCCTACAGTGTAGCTGGTACATGACAATTACTTGAACTACTGTCTCCCCTTCTCAGCATATTTATGACATCTATTTTTTATTTCTCTTATTCCATTGCATTTGTGTAAAAGAGTTTCATTTTTAAGCTATTTGTTAGTAAGTTACCATTGCTGAATTTGCTTTGAGACATTTCTTGAGCCCTTTCTGAAATTTACAGTAAATAGGTTTGGATTTCTGTTTGTGTTGACCATGACAGATTTTAGTTCCTTTGTGTTCCTTTGTAGCTTTGTTTCTGATGTTTAATATATTTAAAGATAAAGAGAGAGGTGATTTGCTTTAGGAAACCTACAGGTTTTTTTTTTTTTAAAAAAATGTTTATTTATTTATGCATACAAGAACTGGGGTACAGGCCAAAGGTGTGGTGGCTGAGAGGATTCACCAGAGACAGTGGGGGAATAGAACAAGCAGATCTACTGAAATACACTGCTGAGGGGAGCAGTGTGTGGGTCAGGAGAGGTCTGCTGTGCCATGTCTGTCAGCTCCCTGGTGGGGGATCAAACTCGTGCTGCAGTGACTTCGGAGAGCTTTATCGTGTGGTGCTTTAATCCATTGTGCCACCAGGGAGAGCCCAAAATCTACAGGTTTTTATATTGAAGTCAGAGGGAGGAAAAGTATAGTGATTATTTTGAACTTTGAATGAGTTTGACGTTTCTTTTTATTCCTTATAGGCTGTATTGTGGAAATGAAGAAGTAAGAACAAGTTATTCACCAAATTAGAAGATGGGATCGAACAGCAGTAGGCTTGGTGATCTTCCTAAAAATGAGTATTTAAAAAAGTTATCAGGCACAGAATCTGTCTCTGAGAATGACCCCTTCTGGAATCAGCTTCTCTCATTTTCTTTTCCTGCACCAACCAGCAGGTAAGAAATTACTTGGAGATTTAAAATTCATAGGGAGTACCACATAAACTTGTATGATATGTTGACTTTTAAAATAAATATTTTAAAATATTTTGCCCCACACCACCCACTGACATACACACCCACCTTCTTTACCTGCCATACGTGTACCAGCAGGAAAGCCACTGGGCATAAAATGTAGGAAATAAGCTTTCTCTTTCCTTTTCCCACTTAGCCATATCCCTTTCATGGAAGTGTTTCCTGTTAATAGTTTCTTTTGAGTGTTTATAGAGAAAGTAAGATCATTTAAGCACATGCAGCATAGAGCTGTTCATTTGTCTAAGCACAATGGTAGTGCGCAAAACATATGCTGCTTTCTTTGTTTTCACTTACTGTTTCTTGCTTTTTTCCACAAAGTAAACTATATCCTGTATATGTTGACATATATACAACTGCATTATTCTTTTTAATGACTGCAGAGTAGTGACAGCATATGTTTAATACATTTTTCATTGTTGGACATTTAGACTGCTTCCAGTCTTTGCTATAACAGATAATACTACACATATCATTTCTGACGCATATGGGTATATCTCTTAATATAAATTCCTCGAAGTGGATTTGCTGGGTTGAAGTGTGTGTGCATTTTTAATTTTTGTAGCTATTGCCATACTGTGCTCCCTGGAAGTTCTATGAATTTACATTCTTAATAGTAATATATACTAGAAAATTGTTTCCTCACACCTTTATTAATTTAATGCGTTTTAGACTGTTTGACCTGTGCCAATTTGATAAGTTGAAAATCATTATTTTATTTTTCACACTTTATTCTGAAAACTCAGACATTCTGTAATGTAGGATGATTTGATATTGTGTTCTTATATATAGTCAATATTTAGATTATTGTGATGGTATAAGGTGATCATGTGCTATGGGACAGCATGTATCATTCTGTTATTCCCCTTTATTGCTGATAGTCCATTGTACAGATAAAGGACATTTTGCTCATTCATCACTTAATAGACATTTGGATTGCTTGAAATTTGTTCATTATAATGCGTATGTTTGCTTCATCTTTTTCTCTAGTTGATGTAACATTGCATTATAACATTATATAAATTTTAGGTGTGCTTTATGTGTGTATATTGAGTTTATTGCTAAAAGTCTAATTCTGTCCTTCATTGTATACCATTCTTCCCTTTTTAAAGAAAATATACCCACTACTTAATCTTACCTTTAAAATACTTAATTTAAAACAAAAATTTTTTTACAATAGTTT